AATCTTTTTCCCTGATTAAGGAATTTAAAAAGCTGAACTCAGACTGCAGGTTTTGACTTAGGCGGTTCATTAAAGCAGCATGTATATCCAAGCTTCTTTTCATGAAAGTTATAGGAATTGTATATTTTTGAGGATTCTGAAGTTATTCGGTCAGAAAAAAGAACAAATAGATGAATATAGGTTTGTATAGATACTGTGACGCAGATTTTTTTCTTTAGGAAACTAGACTAGCCATGTGATGTGCAAGCTTGTTAGTATTTCACACCAGAGGCTGGATTTTATCCACAGGTGTTGTGGATTAACCTTGGTGGCAATTTATTTTGGAACTCCACAAGATTCTATCCTTCTATTTAAATCATTTATAGATGCCCATTTTTTTTAAAAAAAGGATATTTTATCAGAAAGGCCTGAGTATGCCCCTGTATTTTAGGTTTGGAATTTAGGCCAGAGTACAGCCCAGGTATCTCTTGAACCTGATCTGAGGAAATTTTTTTCCAGTCTGCATTTTCTTTGGTACAGAGTTAAAGAATTAGAAGAAAAGTCAAGAAAGTGGGAGTCCAGGTCAGAAGATACACACCTTATAAACTGTCTGGAAGACAAATTAAGTGAGAGAGAAGAAATTATCAAGCAGCTGGTGGTAAGACTGCCTTTTATATGCAGTTGTGTATCTTGGAATCTGTTGAAAGTCTCTATTTAGCGTTTTGCACATTGCTTCAGACTTGTCGGTTCTTTCTGTTCTGGAATACTTTGACAAATGTGTGTTTCCCTACCAGCTTCCAACAAATATGTGTTTCTATACATGTAACTTTCTTTCCCCTCAGGAAGGAAGAAAATGTCAGCATTCACTTTCAGCCAACACTGAATCCTCCAGGAATCGGTCATTTTCTTTCAACCCTAATACAGCAGGCTTGGCTCCTTCCATCAAGGTAAGATGGGCAATGCCATTAAAATCGCAAAATGTGAAGTTTTATTACTATTTGAATCATACAGGTGATCTGGACAACAAAAGTGCTATTAATTTTTTATGATAATGTTATTTAGTAGAATTCTTTCCAGTAAGCCAACCTACAGTCAGGTGTTGAGTATAACATAAATTCAGTAGAAGTATACGTGCAACAGAGATACAGGTGTTTAAGCGGATATAAAACACAAGAACTCCAAACATATGAGTCTTCCACTGGGATAAGCACAGCCATTGCTTGCAGATTTAGGAGTTGCTAATTGGGATATTGCATGCATCAAGGAAAATTATGAATCTGTTTAGGTTGCTCGGTATTTGCCCTTTGTCATTCCATCCCCTTTGCGTGATATTGTCTATAAATATTCATTAAAAGAAGGGAAGTCAAGTTGGTGGAAAGCACCTTGATGTGTCTAAAACCTCAAGGTCAAATACACAGGTTGTTTTAACTAGATGAGACCAAATCCATGGATCCTCACAGCAAATCCTGAGAATTTAAATGCCTACAGAAAAAGATGGGACTCTTCCTATCTGGGGGCTCCTCACAAGACATCTAGGAATGAGATATTGTTGAGGTTTTATAGTATAAATTGAAAAAACTGTGTATGTAATGAAGTTTTCTGTTACAATAAAAAGCAGAGGAAGAAAACACTTGAGGTACCCAGTCGTGTCGTCAGTGTTCCAAATTTAGCTTCCTACGCAAAGAGCTTTCTGAGCTGTGACTTGAGATCAAAAAGAAGTGCTCCTCAAATAACAAAATCTACAAGCTTAGATCGGAGTCCTGGCTGCCTCAGGGTGGGTTCTCCATCAGCACAGTCCTCAGACAGCAGTGCTGCCACAAGGTATTTATCCATTTTGTAAGACAATAAATGAATTCATGTTCAGAATCTTGTAGGCAGTTCAAAACATTTGGAAATACAAAAGGATGTGGGGTTCCTGCAGTGCAGTGAACTCTGCAGACAGACCCAGAACTTTACTGCAGAAGTAGGCTATAATCCCTGCCCAGCAGAGCTTACCCTTGCAAACCCTTCTGGTGCTAAAAAATAATAATAAAAAAAAGAGTTGCAAGTACTTAACTAAGAATGCAGTTAATAGTGAATATGGCTATTTAAAACCTTGGTCATCTACCAGTGGTTCTGATAAGGATGTGTCTTCTCTCTTATTTTTGTTTCTTCACCTTGCACTTGGTAGATGTAGATGACATATTTTAATTTTAGGAGGTATTTCAATTAATCTAGGCTAATCATTTCACAAAGGGTTTAGAAACTTAAAAAATTTGATTAGCAGATACTTAAGTAAAAACCTCTTTGTTTCATGTTTTCTCTCTGAAGAGCTTGCATTCTTCAGATTTATAAGTTATTTGAACAATGTTTGGTATTTTATAAACATAGCTGAACTCTCTCTTCAAGAAATAATTAAAAATATACGTAGCTAACATATGTAGTTATAATGATAAATATTTTTAAAAAACCAAAAACAACAAAACAACAAACCCTACCACTATATTTCAGGACCAAATACAGCCTTCTCACCTATCTCCTGGTGGAGATTACTTATCCTGTAAATTACGTGCTCGAGTTCTTTCCTTGAGGGCAGATGGTGCTGACTGCAATAGAAACAATAACCTGGGACTCAGGCTTGGATCCAGTTTGGCAACTTCCACATCTAAAAGATAAAAAAGTGCTGTGTCATGCCAGATGACTGCCAAGGCAAATCAGATTTCTGTTTTAAAGGGAAACATGCACAAGGAGACTGAGGGTAGCTTGGCTGCTACTTATGTAACTCTTTTAGGTCAGTCAATCATAAGTCAAGTCTTATTTGCTATCATTTGTTAAAAAAAATCCTGAAGGATGGAAAAACGACAATGTAATAGGATTGATTATAAATGCCAGTTAATGTTTAAATTAATCTTTCAGTTTCAAATAACTCTTATCCAACATATTTAATGCATAAATTGTATTTCATGAAGAGTGACTTGCAGCTGCCATTCTCTGATTTTCAACACCTCTTATCCTTGAAGCATCCTTTTATTTTCCAAGATGTCAAGTTAAGAATTATGTTCAAACATCTCTCCATAGCTGTTAGCTCTGCCTGTTACGACCAGGTAACTATTTGAGTTACTTGGCTAGCACAGATCCCACTAGTGTATTGTAGCCAGCACCTTTTGGCCTTACCCATTCATGTGAGCACAGCACCTTTCATAGGATCAGGATTTTTTCTGGGAAAAGAAGTATTACGTATTGGTGTGATTGTGTAGGCAAGTCATGCTAATGCTTATTTGTTTGCACAGGACTCATGGCAGTGAACCACCAGAAACCAAAGATGACCAAAAACAAGACCCTCAGCATCAAGAATGGTTTACTAAGTATTTTTCATTTTAAAGCAAACTATTTCCATATTTCTCAGAGTTATTAGAAAAGCCATTCCTGTTTTTTTTCAGGGAATGATAACCCAATATATGATTTAGGGAAAGAAAAAAAAAACTAATTTCTAAGTAAATGATTAGGAATACCTGCACTCTCTTACATCTATTAACTATGGAGTTATAGGCATGGATTTCAGAAAAATGCATTTTTTTTAACAACCTCTGTAAAAAATGAAGAATATTATAAGACTTTTTATAATCAAGAGACTCTTAACACTCCACCATTTCATTAAATATGCAGTTTGGACTCTGATACATCCTATCAATCTGGCATCAGCTGAAGAAAGGTCTTACTTCTGTACATTTATACATTTGATTCATCAGCTCCTTAAAGTAAGTTGTGCATATAAGGATGTAATATAATGATGTAATTTTTAAAGTTTTTAATGGTTTTTGTTAAACTAATTTTAAGCTGTACAGCATGCAGTATACCTTCAAGAATAGCATGTTCATAGCAGACTGGTTTAGAAATAATTTCTGGTTTGCTTAATAAACTGTTTTGTATAGTCAGCATTGCAATATTCCTATTGCATTTCAATACATGTATCAGCCTGATAAATTAGAATGATGTGTAAGTATGAACATTAAAGCTTGTAAATGATCCATTTCTGTGTTTTTCAAAAGACTGCTATGTTATGCTGAAGTGTGAGTCAGATTGATACACTGAGTTCCAGAGTGATGGGAACTGTGCACATGTACCTTTTATGCCCACCTAAATGTAAAGTGGAGGAATGACTACATTTATCAGATCATGCTAACTCATTGCTGGGAGGAAAGATACCTATAAAGAAATTAACCCTCAGGTAATTAACTCATCAGTAACTGTGAAAGGCAGGGAGGGAACCAGCATCCTGGTGTTTAAAATAGGATAGTTCCTCTTCAACTGCTGTATGGTTTGAATCCCCATTTAATTTTGACAAGCAGGGCCCAGCTAGGTTAGACATTTTCTGTGAGCAAGGTGTACCTCCACCCTAACCTCCTCCTCTCTCCAACAGCCAGCAAGAGCTGTTCCAACAGATTCAAACAATTAATACAAAACAGCTGCTGCACCTCACTGGTGGTGAAAAGGTAACAAAAAGGGCAGAATGCTTCTACAGGCTAATACTTTTCATCCCTGCTATCTAGTATTCCTTCCAAGAAGAACTGCTTGATTTGGAAAGTGACTTTGGCATTAGATTTGACAAAAAGACACTTTTTATATATTTAATTAAGGAGATAAAACAGTGTACAGTAAGTAACACTGAGGGGTGCCTTGGAATCTATGAGAAGATCATCCTGTAATAACTAAATTTGTTTATCCCAAGACCACTGCTAAGAGATGAACAAAAGTCCGGTGAAGAATGACAATTCACTTCAAAAAGAGTACAGTCAAATCTAAGGGTGTTTCTACAGTGGTATTCATGGATAATTACTGGATCACAAAACATGCAGATCTTCCAGTAAAATCAAACACTAATCTTTGCAAGTATTTTCATCATACCAGCAAAGATAGAGGGAAAAGCAGGGCCACCTTCTCTAGAAGGAACAGGATGCATTCTAGGAGACACACTTCTGCCAGAAAGCATCCTGAACAGCAACTCTGAATATTTTCCACTGAAATATAAAACCAGTCCATACTTTTGGAAAAAAAAAAAAAAAGAAGATAATTTATTTGGCTTGTTTTAACTATTTATATTTGTAGTACAAATCACATTATACAAAAAGCATACAAAGCAAGAAGAAAACCATGCTTTGCACTGTTGAAAATACTGAGCTATGTAAAACTGAAGATTATGTTTGCTTCATTGGAGCAGGAATATTCGCAGATGCTTGTTCCAGGTAAGCTAAGGGACCTTGAGGCATTTCTGCAGGCTTTTTGTGCTGTACACTGATGTCTTCCAGGACCTGTTGCCAGTGTCGCAGTTTACTCAAATGCTTCTGAATTAATGCTTCTTTTCTCTGCAATTCATTTCTTAATTCTGAAACATCCTATGGATGAAAAAAAGTGTTTTAGTAAATAGGTAGTATTCGTAAGAACAAAAACCACCTAACATAAAGAGCATGTAATTTTTTTAGCTTGAGTTTTCAAGCTGATCTTATAGTGGAATAATGGAAAAGTGTCCAATGAAGAGAGAGAGAGCACTGCGAATGCCCTAGTGCCATTCCCCTAAATCACATATTTCAGAGATCACTACTTCCAACAAAGTCTGACTAACTGGTTTGTCTCTTCCATTGAAATTACCAACTGTGTTCCAACACTCCACAGAGAAGGAGGCATCCGTCTTCTCCAGGATAACAGTGAGAGTTATGTTAACAGCCAAGTTTTACCAACTTAAGGTACAGCATCATGCTGAGAAACCCAAAATTAATGTGAACAAGGTGATTAACATACACAGTTTATCTCATCTAGCACAAGACAGGTGAATTAATTCAAACATACCTCTTTAATGACTTGTTCTGGTTTCTGGACTGATAGCTGCAGTCTTTTTTGTAGAAAAAAGCATTCAGTTTGTCTTGCAACATCCAGAAACTTTTGGATACACTGATCAACACCTAAACATATATAGCAAAAAAGAAAGAACAGATTCCAAAAAAATAAGACATCAGTATGATAATAGTAGTGGTCTGCTTGCTATTAAAAACACTTTTCACAGTACTTTCTAGAAAGAAAATCTTCAAAATATCTAAAATGACATATTTGTAAAACATATTTATTACTGACATATTTATAAAACCAGGATGTGCATTAAGTCTCTGTATAAGACACTGTTCTGCAGACTTTCAGAACTTCTTTTAAAGGTGCAAGACAACAACACTTCCAAGTTTTATTACATGTCTGACGATAACAAGGAATAATAAAATAATTCATGGTACTTGGTTGAATAAAGAAAACATTTCTGTACGCCCAAGCAAGAAGCTCAATGTAGGGTTCTCAAATATGAGCATATTGAGGAGAATTCCTGTATTACACACTACTGATTTAGTAATGAAAGCTGTTGCATCCCAGCATATGAATATGACCCAATATCTAGAAAGGAGTTTTCAAAAGTATGTATGCCGATTTTGAAACAGCACTTGAGAGTCACAGCTTCAAAAAATTTTCAGGGTCAAGTACACTTCTAAGCAGTCAAGGCCAGTTTCCAAACTCCTGTATAATACCAGTTCAGTATTTATTCCGCCTCCACGGAGGTGCATCACTCAAGCCCTAAAGCATCACTACAGAGCAGCCCGGGCCGTCCTTTCCCACCTTCTATTACCGCTCCATGCAGCTTCCCCATGCATCACGCGAGCTCCATGGATTTGGAACCGTGCACCCGTCAGTCTAACCCCACACGGCCCCCGGAGCCAGCCGGCACTCGGGACCTCCCGACCAGACCCCGCTCCCTCCCTTCCCGGGTGGGTTCCTTTCCTCCCACTGCTGTGAGCAGCGTTCCACCGGGGAAGGGGCGACCCTCAGCTCCCCCGGGGCTCACCGGTGCGGATCTCCTCCTGGTCCGTGCCGTTCACGTAGTCCTGGCTCACCAGTGAGGCGAAGCAGGCCTGCGGGACAGGGAAGCACCGCGCTCAGCGCCTGCAGGGGGGCGGCGCCGGGAGCGCACCGCCCGCCCGCGACTCCCCCCGCTCACCTCGAAGGACGCTTCCAGCTCGTCCACCAGCGTGTTGTTGGGGTTGCGCGGCCCCGCGGGCGGCGGGATGAGGCCGGGCGGGCCGGGCGGCCCCGGCGGCGGCGGCGGCCCCGGGGCCTGGGAGCCGAACATGCCGCCCAGCGCGCCCGCCATGGCGGCAGCGGCGCATGCGGCGGGGGCGGGCCCGGCCCTGCCCCGCCCGCTGAGGAAGCGGCCCGCGGGCCCCGGGGCAGCTCCGGCTGGGGCGGGGGGAACCCGCCCGTGTTAAACACTGCTGTCAGGGTTGGAACGGACCTCTAGAGATCATCCAGCCCAACCCCCCGCCAAGGCAGGGACACCTGGAGCAGGTGACAGAGGAACGCATCCAGGCCGATTTCGAGTGTCTCCAGAGAGGGAGGCTCCACAACCTCCCTGGGCAGCCTGTTCCAGCGCCCTGCCACTCTCAGTGTAAAGAAGTTCTTCCTCATTTTGAGGTGACACTTCTTGTATTTTAGTTTATGGTCATTACTCCTCATCCTGTCACCAGGTACCACTGAAAAGAGTCTGTCACCATCCTCTTGGCACCTGCCTGTGAGATATTTATATGCCTAACTGAGATCCCCTCTCAGTCTTCTCTTCTCCAGACCAAACAGGCCCAGCTCCCACAGTTTCCCCTCATAGTAGAGATGCTCCAGACCCCTCATCATCTTTTGTGTCCTCCACTGGACTCTCTCCAGTAGCTCTTTGTCTTTCTTGTGCCGAGGAGCCCAGAACTGGACACAATACTCCAGATGTGGCCTCACTCATGGCTGAGCAAAGAGTGAAGATCATCTCACTCAACCTGCTGGCCACTCTTCCCAGCAGACCCCAGGATACTACTTTCCTTCCTAGTAACAAGGAGAGCAGAGACAGCAAAGCCATCCTTCCCAACAAGACCCTCCTCCTCCAGTGGCTGCCCTGCCCGCACCTCACTGCCACCAGCCTGGGTCAGCACTGGTCCCACATCTCTTGTTACACACCACCGTTTAACAAAAAAACCTGAAAAAACACCCTAAACCAAATCAAACCCCCACTCTCTGGGCCTGAATCCCCCAAACTGTCAAGAAAACATCACCCCATTGTTTTAAGCGTCAAGTCTGTTTGAACCGATTCTGGGAATACTATCCCTGCTGGGAGCCCAACAGTCTCACACCAGGGAAGGGGGGAAGCAACAGGATGACAAAAAGTATGTGAGATGGGGGCAAGTTCCAAAAAAAAAAAATCCCATGAAACAGGAACTTGCATTCATTAGTTTTTTGAAAAACAGTTACAAGATACACTCTTGCTGACACAATTAGAACTAACTCTATAATTCAGTGCTGAAGCCATGCTAATCATGCTAATTGCAACAGCCTAAAATGTCTGATGCAGCACCATTTCTGTCTCAGTACACACCAAGAGCAGGTTTAGTTTTTCTACGGAAAAACGTCAGAATGGCATTTTTATGAACAACTTTGCAGAGACACCTTTCACACCACCTAGAGTTTACCCAAAACTGAGGCACAGCTACGATTTCCTATTGTGCATTCTCTCAGTCAAAACACACATCCAAAGAAGGCGTTTATTGTTTACATTAATTATGCTTATTTTACATATAAAGTAGGAGTCCTGATGTTTTCCATTATCATGTTTTGATATTAAATACTTCAATATTTCAAACAGAGTATCTTTTATTTTAAGCTGTATAATATGGGATGACAAATCTCAAAGTTGAGATAATCTTACCCAAATAATAATTTATAAAATGCATTTGTAGTTAATTAACATAATGAAAATATGCTTGGGGCATTAATTTATGAACAGTACCTTTTAAGATTTTTTTTCTTAAGGCAGAGCAGATGATTTCAGAACAAGTATTTTTATTTGGCATTGTGACTGTCTTGACTTAACCGAGCTGCAAACTCTACAAGGGTTCTCGTGGGCCGCCCTGCCATGCCCTTCCGAAGGTAGGGCACCTCATCTTTATTCGACATCACACCAGCAATATCCAAATGAGCCCAGTGAGAGGCAGTCACAAACTCCTTCAGGAATGCAGCAGCTGTGCATGCTCCTCCAGCTCTGCAGGAAGCAGAAAAATGTATTGTTTCTAAAAGCAACTCCAACAGCACACATATTAAATAAATACATTGAAAGAAAGGGGCCCCTTACCTGCTGTACTTTCCAATGTTACTCACATCTGCAAGAGGACAGTCTGTTACTTGTTTTGTGTAATGTTCAAAAAGAGGCATTCTCCAAACTCTGTCTCCTGTCAAAATGCTGGCCTGAAAACAGAATAGTGATAGTTTGGGCAAAATTCTTTTTGTTTAGGTTTGATCAGCCTAAAAATCTCCAGTCCAATATAATATTAGGTATTTGGGAATACACTGCAAAACAAAACAGGTAATCCTACTTTTTAGGTAATCTAGTGTCAGCCAAAAGGCAACATCAAAAGACCACATTTTTTATCTGTTTTTTTCTTTTTCCTGACAACACAAATCTTTCCCCTCACAGGCTTCCTTGATCCATCACACTTCAGCTACTCACAAGGCCTCTTTGAATTTCTGTCTCAGTGTTGTTAAGCAAGATCAATTATCTTTTTAACATGAACTAATTACTGTCAGTAGTCCAGAGCTTATGCATATGCAGTAAGTTATCAGAACATGCAGATCCTTGAGATGATGTGCATGCTGTTTGGTGTATGATATCACACCTCACTGAAGAGACAGTAATTAATAGTCAACATTAATTATTTTAAATTAAATACCATTAGACACCATTCCTATGAAATTTCAAAATGTAATAATATCTCTTTTAGATTTGCATAAAGCCTTTCAGTAATGTACTAACTTTTCAGTAACATATATCACTGAACTATTACTATTATGATTTAAAAATAATGGAGATGACCTACCTCATAGAGGTGAGTCCAAAGCCAAGATGAATTTGTGAATACTCCAGTCGCAGCAGATCCCAGTGCAACATCCATGGCACCTACAGAAACACACCTTCAAGTTTATATGACAAAGGCAAAGGCGGACCTAAGTTATTCCCCGCATCCTGACTTCTCACAGAACTTTCCTTTTTCAAATCCCATTATCAGTAATGGAAATTAATCAGACTGCAAAACCTAAAGACTTTAGTACACTTATATTTTTAAAAGTTTGAACATTGTTGAAACACTTACATAATCTAAAAAGACAAGAAACCATAAAAATTCTGTTTCTCATGAAACTATTTTTATTTCAGCTTGACGTTTCTTAGCAATATTTCTAAGATAATGTATTAAACAATAACAGTATCTTCTAAAAAAGATCTAGATATTATTTCCATATAGAAAATGTGAGTGGATTTTTTCCACTTTATAGATCTCTATAATTTTTGAGCTGATACTTTACCTTTGTGAATTCCATTTGCATAGATTTTTACACAGTGTGTATGAATTTACTTTAAATTAAAATAATCCTTATCAAAGCACTAAACCATGTCTAAAACTGAGGGATTACATGCATATTTATCTATTTGATGCCACAGAACTGCTTCTCTAATACCAACACTCAATCCTCAGTGAGATAAAAAAGAAGAAAAAATGAGTTTAACAAAATGATATGTCAAAGAAATTTCTACAGGAGCTCTCCTCCTTCCAGGTTGGTGCACAAGGATCTCAAACAGGAATACTTTTATACAAGCCAACAGTCTTAAAATCAGTTTCCCTTCCATCTATTGAAATTTTCCATAGAATTTGAACTGGTAGAACCAATGGAACATAAGTTAAAGCACTACCAGAGAATTTATATAAAGAATTATTTTCCTTAGCATATTAAGCAACACAGTAGACTCCTATCTGAACTACTCTTCTGTGTTTGCTCTCATTTCAGCTACAGTCACCTCACCCATGACAGCCCGTTACTGTGTGCATGAGATGCATACACAGTGCTCTTTTAATGCTTAAATTTGTAACTTCACTATTATGCGAATGTAGGGATGAAGGATTTCATATTGCCTAAAAGTATGCAAACTGAACACAAAAATAAGAGATACTTCAGTCAAACAAGTTCTGGGGAAGATGGCAACTCTCCTGTTATCTACCATCACGGAGACCTGAGCTAGCTCTCGTAATGGGAGAATTGGTGTTGGCTAGGTCAGAACTCAGGCTCTCAGCAAGCCACTCAAAGAGAAGCTGTTTGGGCTTTTTGGGCTCCAGGATGGCCCTGACACATGGACCAAGCGGGATTCTTTCACAACAGCACTGCCTCTGCATCACACAGCCCTGGGAGCTGGGAGGGCTTAGCTCGGAAATGGAAGCACAGGGGAATACTGAGCAGAAACATTGAAATCTGCGTAGGATTTCCCACTTTTAGTTCCAGTTGGGCTGGGCCAGCTGAGCCCAACGTCATCGACACTGCTGAGCACATCCCCTCCATGCCAGTCCCCTCCCCACTCCCAGAGACATGGCGCATGTTGCACAGGTTGTTAGAGCACAAGCTGTGAGCGATGTTGTCCTGACACATGTAAAATCATTTCAGTTGTCTTTGAATTAAGGCTGGGTTTATGTACACAGTGCAACTAATCCACAGCCCACCTAATATGTAGCAAAGAACTGATGGCAAAATGAGGGCAGGCAAGGGAAACTGCTTACCTGTTAATGTTGCGGCATTCACAATAGCCCTTGCATTAAAATTGTGGGCGTAACAGAGAGCATCAGCTAACAGCAATCTTCCTTCTGCATCTGTGTTATCTACCTTCAGAGCAAAATCAGTAAAACACAGAAAAACTACTGTAAACATCCCTTTCACTGATGTATCTCTTACATATTATCTTAAATAGCTGTCGGATACAGGCTCTAGGAAGTTCAGGTAATTAAAATTTACTCAAACTACACTGAAAAAAAAGAAAAAATATTGATATACAGTTATGTTTACAAAATAAAAGCAGATCTGTAGCTGAGGTCAAGTCATCTTTAAGCACTGCAACCTGCTCTGCATGCTGGGCCTCTATGCTGCTGACTCCTCAGAAGAGCCTGGAGACTGGAGAGGTACCCCAGTGGAACACACAGGCTGCCATGCCCAGCAAAGCCCCAGGAATCCCAGGGTCTGAGATATTGCCAAGGAAAACCACACAGGAGGAGAGGGCACCACAAAGAAGCACAAAGACATAAC